TCTTTGCAAAATGCCGAGCATCTATCACCGGTGAAAAGAAATAAAACAAACTTTATATTGTAGGAAAAAATAGAATCGCTTGGCTAATTCCTCATTAATATGCCCGAGGCTACATAATATTATATCATAGCTTGAGTAGTTATAGTCTCCTGAAGATGGAGATGCTCACCCGTCTGCTATCATTTGTGTTACTTCTCAACACCGGTTTTTGACAGTGGAGAGGTGATTCCGGTAACCAGTGGAATGGAGGATATTACCAAGGGCAAGGGTATGGTGGTTATGGTTACGGATATGCTATGCCGTCAAATCAGGATCCAAGCACATGCTGCAACTGCTATTCCTGGTGCATCTTGATGGGGGACTTAACAGGTCGATCAAAGAATGTATGAGAATTACCACCAGTGGCTATGTAGTATGAACTTTCAGGTGAAGTTTTTTAAGTTTATTTTTTGTAGGATGGGGTTTTGCTTGCTGCTTTAGGATCTTCAGGTTGAAGAATTTTGTTTTTTTAACAGTGGAGTTAGTTTTAAAACTGTATTAATTTGTCATTTACAACTTTAAATTTTGTGTTTTGAGTGTCAGCGTGTTTCCTTTGTGTTATTTTGTTTGTTAAAATTCATAAACAATGAAAGGAGAGCTTATTCATTAATTTTATTTACATGTTTTTGAGCAAATCATATGATTGTATTTTTGCGAGTCGTAGTCTTGGTACTTTCCCGTTAATTATCCTAAAGCTGCTTTTATTAATACAAAGAATTAACTATAAAATTTAAAATTATACATGAATTTAAATATAAATCACACAAAACTTTGATTCAGTTATATGCATTTAAAAGAATAAATAATCTAATTTCTTTATATATATTGAAGAATATAATTGGTAAATATAAAATGTTATGATGTTAGTGATTTTGTAAAAAGAGAGAAAATCATATGGTGTTTGTGATTTTCTAAAAGAATGAATTGAAATCAAAGGTTATACATGTAATCTCACAAATTTGATGTTTATGTATGTGTAGTTTGGAGGTTTATTTTGAATTTGTTTAACAGTTTTTGATACTAAAAAAAACTTGACATGACATATATTATCTATCTTTATTTATAGTTTCAAAATATTGTTAATCTCAATGACAGATCCAAAAATAAAATTTTAAGATGGATACATATATGAAATTTTTCTATAGAAGAAACAATCCAAATTCGATTTGGTAAGGTTTCTTGCTCATGTAAAAAATTTCAAGAAAATATTGTGGGAGGTTGAGATGGATTGAACTTGAAAGATGCCCAGCCCTAGTACAACCTTATTAATGACTTGAATTTGGCAATTTTGCCCATTACAACCGATAAAAATAAAATTTAGAGATTTAGGGAACATTGATTTTTAATTAGGGATCTACGACATTTACTACAATGTAGTGTAAGGGAACTCGTCAAGGTGACGAGTTTCTCTAAAATATTATTAATTTTTTTATGTCAAAGTTTTTGTCTTGGTTGTTTTTATGTTTAATATTATATTTAAATAAGAAAGTCGTAATGTTGATATATGGAGAAAAAATAACGAACCATGAGAAATACACATTAAGAAGTAATATTACAACACAATTAATACATTACCTTAAGGACATAAATAGGACAAACCTTACACACACACTAAACAGTAAATCAAATCATAAATTCATAGACATCTGTTGCATTCATTATGATGTTCTACTCTTCATAATCAATAGACTCGTCAAAAGTAATATTAAGTTCTTCAATTTTCCATGCTTTTTCTTCTTATCGTTCACACACAAATTGGAATCTTGCTTCTGGGTCTCCATCATCTATGTTTGTTGCTTTGTCATTTGTTTGAGTTGTTGGGATGTTCGAGGTGGAAGCATCGTCCTCAACCGTACGAGCAAGGTCAAGATCATCAAACTCTACAAACAAATCGACATTAGACAAAGAAGAGTTGAAGTATGTCTCAATCATACCAGCAAGGTCAATATCATCACTTAGATGAAACCTCGTGCATGATAGTGGAATTTTATAATATAACAATGATATTCTTTTTTTGTTTCCTAGTTGAACCCTTTTTTTTGAATATTGAACTTCAACTTGTCTAGTTGAATATTCTTTTGAAACACATGGTTAAAGATTTGCAATCATAAAAAAATAATTGCACGAATATTTTCCATGGTCGCAAAAAACTCAAGATTTAGAATTGAAAAGTTGAGGTTGTTCTAGACCGATAAAATAGGTTTCACCAGACACATTTATAGGGAAAAAGTTTGTGAACTAAAAATTTTATGGCATGGTGTATTATATTAGATAGATGTTGAAATGCAGATTGTACCTGATATGAAGTGATATATTAGCACTGAAAATTTTCAGAAATGAGTTGAAATTTTATGGCAAGGATCTCAGTTTCAAAGACAATGACATCAATTCAGAATACATTTGGTTATATTATATCTTACTACAAGGCGTGGATGGTGAAAAAGAAAGCTATGACACTTTTGTACGATGATTGGGATCAGTCGTACAACGAGCTTCCACATCTGTTGCACGCAATAAAATTCTTCATCCCAGGAACCATTGTTCGCTCTTATACTTATCATGCGACCACGTTTGATGGACATGTTATTCCAGTGAAGAGAGTTTACGGAGGCTTGTTCTGGGTTTTCAAGTCATCCGTTGAAGGTTTTTGTTACTGCAAACAAATGGTTCAAGTGGATGATACTTTTTTGTACAACGTATACAAACATATCCTGATGATAATTGTTGCACAAGATGGTGATAGAAACATTGTCCCCATTGCCATTTTCATTGTTAAAAATGAGTAAGAAGAAACATGAGATTTCCTTCTATCAAACTTATGCTCTCATGTTGTCACTCAAGATAGGGTTTGTATGATATCTGATTATTCACCTAGGTTGTTGGCCACGATTGATAGACCGGAAAGTAGGTAGTCACCTCCCCATGCATTGTCGGCGTATTACATCCATCATATTACGTAAAATTCTATGACTAGGTTTAAGAATAAGAAGATCAAAAAAGAGATTATCAATATGGGTAACTTATTATTTTTTTCCTTCTTTTATGTTATTCATTTATTATTATACTTAATTCTAACTTTTTTCAGGATATATTTTACTTCAACCTAACTTTTGAGCAAGGTTGGAAAATCTTAGTAAATATGGACAAGAGGTTTATAACTTTGCAGCTGAAATACCTAAAAAAAGATGGTCACATACATATGACGATCAGGGTCGACGTTACAGTCATATAATAACTAGTCTTGCCGAATGTATCAATTCAATACTTAAAGGGACTAGACATCTTCCTGTGACAAGTATTGTTCGGGAGAATTATTTCAGATTGGGTAACCTATGGGCAAACAAATTTGCCCAATTGGAGGCAATGATCAACGAAGGCAAAACTTGAGCTCCAGATCTGGAGAAAGCAATGAACAAAAATTAAACACATACATCAATGTATCTTCGTAATTTCGTCAGACTCGATTCTGATTACATTGCCCAATCACTTGTTCGACCATAATAAGTGGGAATTCTACCACCCACACTGGTAATTTGAATAGAAAATGGTGTGACTATGGTCAATTTCAAGCCTTCAGATACCCATATGCTCATGTGGTTGCTGCATGTATGTATGTCAATGTTGACCCATACTCATATGTTGATGATTGTTATAGCTTGCATACTATGTGCAACATATATAGTTGTGAATTTAAATATCTCCCAAGCGCTGCATATTGGCCACTAACTATTTATGAGGAATGGTTGTCCAATCCACATTACGAAGGAAGTTAAAGGGTCATCCTGAATCTAGTTGAATTCATATTGATATGGATGATCTGCAATGAGAGCACGGTTTACTAAAGCTTTGTGGCCACTTCAGAGGTAAATGCCACAACATGAAGAAATGTCCACATCTTCTAAAATATTGACAGGGCCGATAAACCTTCGTATTTGTATTGTTTTAGATGTTGTCTGTTGTACACGTTTTGGATAATTTATCAATATCAATAATCATATAGTTAAAACATTTTTTCAACAAAATAAAAACTTTTCCTCTTCTAAGTAATTTGTAACGTCCTTTTTTTAAGTCTTCGTTCTTTTTCTTCTCCTCTTTCGTTTTCATCTCATTATATTAATCAAGAATCGACTTTATTGACTCTTTCACCCACTCCATTGTATCTGAATCATCATTATCAGAGTAATTAGAAGCAAAATGATCTTCCGAAAATATCCTAAAATATTCTTTCCACAACTGCATGATTTGGTTCACATATAACTCTATCAACTAATCCAACTCCTTTATAGATGAAATATTCTCAAAATGATCGTTGTAACTCATCACGTTAACATGACAAGTTTCAACGGCTATAATATAATAGAACTTGTCACCTCGAGGTGACGAGTTCCAATGTTTTTTTTTCAGTTTTAGTTTTAAGTATATTACCGAAAAAATTAATAATATTTTAAAACAACTTGTCACCTAGAGGTGACGAGTTCCAAAAATAAAATAAAATAATATGCCCGTAATAAATAATTAATATCTCATGGAACTCGTCAGCTCGAGGTGACAAATTTTCCCTGCACTATAATAAATACCGTAGATCTCTAATTAATAACCAAAGTGCCCTAAAACCTTAAAATTTATTTTTAATGTCGGTAATGGGCCAAAAAAAAAAGCCATTGAATTTCAACTTGCTTGTTCTGGGGGGTTTGACTGTTGAATGTTAATTCTAGACCCAAGACCTAAAAATTACATTTAAAGAATAAAATTAAATCTACATAAATATTAAGGGAGAACATCATTTAAAAAAGCTAAATATTATATATTTAAAAATTATATTTAAAGGATAAAAAGTTAATATGTATATAACCTTTTTCTGCCATCTCGATAAATAATAGAGATAATGTTATTTTTATATTTAATATTTAGAAATATATACATGATTAAAAAAAAATAAAATTTTACACCCTATCCTTCCTTTCACTTTCCTCTATAATTTCTTCCTACAAAATCCTTCATTTCTACCGTCATCTTGGCTTTTAATCCTCAATCTTGGTACCCTTCACGAAGCCATGGAAGTGGTGGTGCCGGCAGTGGAATTTAACTTGGACAACACATACTCGTCTCCATACATGACTGCTCCTTTCAGTCCTCAAAGCTTCTTCTTCAGTGCTCCCACCAGTCCCACTCGCGCTTCTTCGTTTGCAGCGGTCCCTAAAAGAAAAGACTTTCATGGAAGATTCGACAAGAAATATGAGACCAACAATGACGATAATGGTGAAGATTTCGATTTCGAGTTCGAGTTTAGTGGACAGTTTGAGAGAACTTCTTTGCCAGCTGAGAAGCTCTTCGATGGTGGAAAGATTCGGCTATTGAAACCGCCGCCTGGGTTCTCGACCATTGTTTCTTCTCCGAAACCGAGAGCTTTTCGAAAGAAAGACGTCGATCCATTCGAAACATCCATCGAGAAGTCTCGTAATCAATCCTCCGCTCGTTCTTCATCATTATCATCTTCAACCTCCAACTAGTACAACTATGTTCATAAGAAGAGTAGATCACTCTCTCCTTTCAGAGTATCCAGCGACACCACCACATTCGAGCAAGACACAAGCAATCCCAAAATCCTGTCGGCTATTTCGTTCTCAAAAGGTAACAGAAAATGGAAGTTGAAAGATCTTTTGTTGTTCAGGAGTGCGTCGGAAGGGAGGGCAACGAGTAATGATTCTTTCAGAAAATATGCTGTTTTGTTTAGGAAAGAAGTCGATGATCTTGTCAATTTAAGCTTCCGGTCTGCGGAGAGTGTCGGGTTGAGTTCGAGGCGAGTTTCGGCTCATGAGTTGCATTACACGGCGAATCGGGCCCTGTCAGAGGAGATGAGGAGGAAGACTATTTACCATACAAGCAGCGTCTTCTCGGATGTTTGGGGTTCAACCCTGGAATGCACGAGGTTTCTAGGGGTATTGCGTCTGTGAGGAATAATTATTAGATCGATCCGGATCACTACATTATTTATAGATCCAACTAATAACATTTTTTCATCTTATTTTTTTTTTAAGGTATTCACCTTAAAAATAAATGGATAGGGCTATGGATCAAAATATAAAGGCTTCAGCTAATAGTTGTATGATATAATCATTACGTTGAGGAATAATGATGTTTATAAAGCCTAAAGTTGTGCTTTGTTTCAACCCCCATAAAGGGACGGTCATGCCTTCAAATTTCCAACCGATCACCTACTTTTTGTGCTAAAAGGTTTAGTAAATTAATTAATTAACAAACCATATAATCTAATGAATTGTTGTAGGTTGAAGCAGGGCAATTGAAATCGTTACATGGTCATTTCAATGTCACCGACTATTAGAAGTTATAAAATTCACCCGATTATTCAATATGTTTTGAATTTATCTTTTTTTTTCGTTAAAAAGTTAACAATAATCAAAGTTGAATGTTAATATGATGTATGAGATTTGATAAAATTTAATCGCAGAATCTCAAACGACTATCATATCTCAAACAGTAAAATTTGATTTCAAAATCTTAAACGACTATCATACCTCAAACAACAGTTTACAATATAATGAATAGTAGAGTGATCATTTTATAATCTTTAACAGTGAAAGACTCAACAAAACAACATCCTTTAATCGAGAGACTATTTTATAACTTTTAATAGTTGAGACTATTTGTGTACTTTATTCAAAGTGGAAGCAAATTCGAAGAAAGCGAAGAGAAACAAGACATTAATTCCATGGGGCAGGATGAAGTACTATTATGGGCATTGGCAACCCATTTGCACAACCTAATGTGAATGTAGCTTTAAAAGTAAATAGGTAAATGTTGGATTCAAACAAGGTCAACCAGTTGGTCTAGTGGGATGATAAACTAGATCTCTTAAGTAAAGTTAGGAGTTCAAATCATAGCGTTTGCGAATAAAGTAAACTGGGTTGGGAGGGTCACCCCTCGCCTCTGTAATACCCGATCTGAATTTGTCGATAAATAAATCGGATACCAATGATTAATTCAAAAAGAAAAAAACAGTATGAGTGAGTGGAGTAGTAGCTAAACAAGGACGACCAAAGTAATGGCCACTTGGGTAAACGCTATGCCAATGCCATGTTTCCACGCTTTGAGTTTGAAATATCATTTCAAGTTTTAAAAATCTTAAAGGAAAATTTAAGTTTTAAAAGACTCGAATTCAAACATGTAAGCATGCTGTCGATAGATAAATATATTAATAATAATTAAATATAAATAAACATTCAAACAAGACAAATATAATTTTACTCATTCAGGCAAAGCTCAACTACACACACATATTTACATGTACTGATATCTTTGTTGACTTTCAATTTGTCCCATATCTTGTCCAAGAATCAGCATAAAACTGAAGCCTCATAATCTGAGGCCCTAAGTCTCCCAATCTAAGAAGAGAGACAAATATCCGGTTTTACACTGCATCAATTCTACATCTTGTTCAATTGTATTCGATATTCAACCAACATGCCATTGTTAGTGCCTAGAGTCATCGATTCTCTTACAACACATCATTGTGCCTTTGCAGGGGCTCGACTGGATGGACCACGCAACGATTTGACGAAACCGAGGAAACTTAGCTTTCCATACATATGTCTTATCCAGTCATTAAGAACAACATGAACTGGAATAGAGGGTCCAAGACCAAGTTCCTGAATAGTTTTCAAGTACGGAATCGGCATTTTGATTACAAACAACGGATCAGAAATTATTTAGTATCTAAAAGAATTCCAAACTTATAGAAGCGATCTCCTCAATTACGATAGCCCCGTTTCCATCTTTCTCAAAAAGCTCGTATGCACATCGGGCATGTTGTTCCCAACGATCAAGCGCCTCGAGCTGATGAACTCTTAATGCAGCTGCACAAAATTCCTCAAAACCCATTCTTCTGTATTGAAGTGCATTAAGCTGTCGTGCAATGGAAATTAAAAGACGCGTACTTTAACGAGCTACTTCTTGATGACCATATAATCAAGAAATGACTACCTAAACGAAAGAAGAACTGTGTCCATACCGAGAAAAGAAAATCCGGAATGTGAGAATCCTTCATTGCATCTGTTGCAGTTTTCATCAGGGCCTGTTTGCAAGAAAATTTAATAATACAAACAAGTCCATATTTAATAATATATCCACGATGATGGAAGGAGACGCACCGTCTTAACATTCTCCAAGGTTATGTTACCATTGTTGGGCTCAAATAATGCAAATTGCACTCTCATGTAAAAGTGTTCATCAGCAGTCAGTGTCTTAGACGATGCCTGCAGGAAGGGATTAATAAAAAAAATGACGCATTATCTAGTTTCCGTTGCAAATTACCGAGAGAGCTAAGTAAAATTCAGCAAAGGAAAATCAAAGTTGAATGGTGTGAGCATAGTGGTCTAGAGACCAGGTACTACACAGAGGCACAGGTAAAGTACAAGAAGAGAATTTCACCCCATTAGCATATCCGTCTTTAAGGCAGCCTTCCGCAAAGTTGAGGATCGCATATATGCCTTCATAAGCCTAAAAACTAAAATATCAAGAGGAACCTTAGCATCATTGTGATTCTGGATCCAAGGATGACCTGTGAACAAAAGACCAAGGCTGTTACTCTAGCCGAAGGATGTCGCAACCTTATATTATGAGTTAAAATCAAGCATGCACATAGGGCCTCAGCTGCTGTCTTTCTTTTCCTGGGGTCCTTATTCAAAAGGCTCTTAACAACGTCTTTAGCTTCTGATGACAAGGAAGGCCAAGGTTCTTCGATAAAGTTCTGGTCAGCTTTTAGGACCGCTCGAAAAATTCCAGACTCAGTCCTAGCCCAAAATGGACGGCTACCACATAAAAGAATATATGCTATCACACCTATGCTCCAAACATCAGCTTCTGTACCATAAGATCTATGAAGAACTTCAGAGGCCACGTAGTATGCACTTCCCACAATGTCATTAAGTCTTTCATCTGAAAAAACCATAAGCACTAGAGATTTAAAAGAATCCCCAAAGTTGAGCAAGAGGAAGCGGAGCAAGAAGAGTAAAAACCTGGTCTGACAAAATCCGATAATCCTAAGTCTATAGCCTTAAGCATAGAGTTCTCCTCAGAAGTATACAGAAAGTTCTGGTCCAGAAAAAAAAAATACTAAGTTTAGATCCTTCAACAGTAAAAAAACACAAAAGATCACAAGTTGTTAACAGACTCAGTAATCAATCATGATGATACGGCACGAGAAACGTCCTAACGACTTTAAGCCGACAATAGCATACACTTTCCCAATTCAAGACATTCCCTCAAAGCCTTTCAATTCAGTTTAGGAAATCGTCAAACATAAATCCAGTTACATATCTATCTATGCTTTGTGTTTATATTAAACTATTCAGTAGGGGGAAAAAGAGAATTTGCTCCACCGCTGGCTTAAGATCTCGATGCACCACGCCCTGAAGATGACAAAAGGAAACAAAATTTAGAATCTGTACCATTACAGTCTTTGCATCATCTTCCGAGTACTTTCCGCCCCTACAAGCATAATGGACCTATAAGTTCAAAGTACAATAAACAAATTCTCAAAATTTAAGCTATCTATTACAAGAATAATCACCTTGCAAGAATTCTATCCAGAAGCTCACCTCCTTCACAAAACCTGTAATTTCAATTACGATACTCAAAATATTAATTAAAATAAGATATTATGAATGAAAGTTTAAGCTTCAAGCTTACTCCATTGCTATATAGACATTATCATGATCTTCAAATGCATCAAAGAATTTCACTAGATTGTTATGTCCTGTCAAGGCTCGCAAAATCTTCACCTCCCTTCGTACATCCTCAGCTGCAATAGCCGTTGTCATCTGACAACATACATAGTCATAAGAAAAACACATAAAGACACACCAAGGAGAAAAGCAACTTCAATCACTAATAATTGTATATTAGGTATAAATCAAAACATTGTATCAAATACCATACTTCTCTCTGCATTGTAAAAGGTTCGAAGCAACACTTCAAGGTCAATTGATCACATGAAAATGACGGCCGAATCATGTATCAAATACATACAATAGTGTGCAATCTAACTACAACTATTTGTAGCAATGAAATATTCAAGTCATGTGGTAAGCTTAATATATAAATTAATCCAGAGTTTAGACCAAAAAGCACGTCCAAATCGGATGTGGCAAGCTTAATACATCAGATAATCTGGATTTTATTAGTTGGAAGGTAGCAATAGATTATCAAATTCATATTAGAAAAATTGTGCATTAATCCGAGAATGTTATAAAAAAATAATAATGATAATAAAATAAATTTCATTATAAAACTAAAGGGAATGAAGGGATAAGAGATAGAATGAGTTTACTCTTATCTTGAGATTGTTATCTGAAATAACAATTTGAGACGAAATCAATCCTGAGAAAATAAACCAAAAAGGATAAACTTCTTAGAAGATAAGATAAAAATAAATGGAAATAAAATAATCCTTTTATTTTGATCCATTGATCGGAATCAGATGAGGCCTATCGCTACACAGTTTCCT